AAAACCAAACAATGAATGTATTGAGTGCTGGTGCACAAGCAACACAAGCACATCATTATCTCCCCGTCCTCATCATTTATACTCAGCAATCTGGTTTTATATGTCTCCAGAACAACAATTTAAAAGCACCCCACTCCGATCATTCCTTGTAGGGAGATAGAGTGTCACTTCAGATGCGATAGACAACTGTAAAATTGCTGGGAATATCAGATGGGGTCGAACATTTTGCTCATATCAAATTTCCATCACATGAAAAGTTGCCAATCTGTTCTGCGTAATCATGCTTGGATGTAAAATGGGAAAAAGAGTATTTTTAGAAACCAATCAGTGGTACCAGGAATTTTAGTGCCAATATTCAGCAGGTGGCACTTTTTTTTTTTTTTATTTCTGATCTATCATCTGATCATCTGAAGCTGCCCACGGAGCTGTGACAGATGGCTCAAAGCTCAGAGTTGGCAGAGTTGAGCATGGTCATCTTTGGGAGCTTCAGGGTATTCCTCACAATGTTCACTGGAGAAAAAGCTTTTTCACATCTTGATAAATAGTTACTGCAAAATGACAAGAATACAAACAAATATTCTATGTAACGATTAGAAATCTCAACCTATTTTAGCTTATTTACTGATCCCCCCCCTCCAGTATGAAGTAGAGACTGACCAAACCTAGATTTCTGGCGCTAATGCCAAAATACAGACACAGGTTTATCAAACAATATTGATTAAGTTACATTGCAAAGGGAAAATGATGGATTTGTGCCTTTTTAGGGGTCATTTCTCTTCTTCACTTGCACAAATATTAGAGATGGATCATCTCATAAAGCTTCACATTTTGCACACAGTCCCAGCTCTGTGTATTTCCTCCACCTGAGCATCTTTAAACCAGCATGATAGAATCTGGCCCCCTATGGAATCAAATTTTCACTCTCCTTACTGGGCAAGTAGCAGGCTTCACATTTTTCAGCATTTTCCCAAAAAGCCTACCTCTGGAAAGACGGGTTAATAAAAATGAACCAAAACAGCACAGTTGCAAACTTCAAGAAAACTATTTGAGCTTCAAGGTTTTTGCCGTAGCCATAGAAAAACCAACCAGTATTCAAAAAGCATGTCCTGCTTACCCATACTTACACAGCCTTAGAAATGCCCATAAACATCTTGCATTCCCCTTCATGTTTAAACTGATCAAAGCTTTTGGTTGTTTGATCTGCGCGCTTTTGTGACTGAGCCGGCGCATTTTTCATCTTTGCTGTCTAATGCTGATGCACAAAGTACCACACTAAGGATCTTGATCTCGAATCCACACCTGCAGCATTTACACTTCAGAGCTGGAAATGTGGTGATATCATTTAATGGGATCTGTTCTGTTTTTCAGTTGCATTTTTTCTTGTCTTTTTGAGCAGAAAAACAGTGATTTCTCCATCTTTCTGCAGCATTTCTCTCCTTGCTGTAAACGACTTTAACCACCTGCTGCCATAACAGCCAAATCCCTCTTCCTGAAGTACAAAGCAGCAAAGGTCTCTAAGATACTGGACCCCATGAGGAATCCACCCCACATGCTTTACACTTCTCCCCTCTGCTGCGTTCTAAAAATGAATGCTGTTTCAGATCATTACTTGCGCTCTACATGCTCTCCTCCTGCATTAGTTCAAACGCATTCTTGGCTTCTCTTCTAGTCTCATAGGCAATAAAACACCCTGATTTATCTCCAAGCTCTCCTTTTGGTCACTCTAAACCAAAATGGTCATCAAGAAAGAGCAGAAATGAAAGAGTGACTTTGTACTGGAAGGTTTTATGTGGTGGCAGGACTTTAGTGTTGATCTCTATGAATCACATTAAAAAGAGTAAAGGGGTATCATCAGTGTGTTAAATTGCTACACAGTGAGTGGTCCTCAACTCTTCACGGATGTCATAACAGGTCACTGAATGCAATCCAAGTCACGGTCTGCCACTCATTATGTTTAGTGGCAATTAAAGGTGATTAATCAAACTGAATGTACTGCATGTGTGTGTGTGTGTGTCTGTGTGTGTGTGTAGAAAATAGGTAACAGATTGCAGCAGATTCTTTTTCCTGCTACAGGAAGGGAGATAAATCAAGAGGTTTGACTCTGAGGGTTTGCACATGTGCTATCTTTTATCTTTACTCCTATTAAGAAAAAAAGGTCTAACAGAAAGTGACACTAAGTTAACCCAAACTGATGCTCTACAAGCTCTCATTCAAGGTGGCCCCAAAAGCAAGCTAATGAGGACAGACAGAACAGGTCACATGGCCGGGAAACATTTTAAAGTCTTGTTTCAGCCTTGAAGCTGATGTAATTTTTTGTAATTTCTTGGTAGAAGAAGAAGCTACCTGGAGCTTCTGTTAAACTCAGTGGGAGAGAAGGAAAAGCCTTAAAAATTCACATACAAGAAGCAGGTTATTTGTCCTTTCTTGCTTTAACCCTTCTGTCGGACTGTCGGGACAACCACATAAAGAGAAGCAGAAAAAAACTGTCCAATACTGTATTTAATTAGTAATGAGAAGGATGTGTCATGCTTACAGTTAATTATTGCACAAATGTTTCAACTCAAAGGTGTTTTGCATGATGGCTTCGTTCAAAATACGCTTACTGGACACTTTATTAGTTACAGCCTGCCATTTCTGGTATGGACTTTCTTTTACTTTCAGAACTGCCTTAGCAAAGTGCTGGAAAAATTCCCCAGAGATTCTGGTTTATATTGACATGATAGCATCACATTGTTGCTGCAGATCTGCTGGTTGTTCATCTCCTGTCCCACCAAATCCCAAAGCTGCTCTGCTGGACTGAGATTTGGTGACTATCGAGTCCAGTTGAGTACAGTGAACTTAGACCTCTCTGCATTGAATCATTGCTTGTTTTTAATCTCTGGCTCTCTTCCACAACATGTCTTTTGTCCTGGCTTCCTTCTCTCACCCCAACCACTCGCGGCAGATGGCCCCGCCCCTCCCTGAGCCCAGTTCTGCCGGAGGTTTCTTCCTGTTAAAAGGGAGTTTTTCCTTCCCACTGTTGCCAAAGTGCTTGCTCATAGGGGTCATAAGATTGTTGGGTTTTTCTCTGTGTATTATTGTAGGGTCTACCTTACAATATAAAGTGCCTTGAGACAACTGTTGTTGTGATTTGGCGCTAAATAAATAAAATTGAATTGAATTGAACTCATTGTCATGTTGAAGAAGCCAGTTTGAGATTATTTGAGCTTTATGGCGTGTTATCCAGTTTGAACCACCACCAGCAGCCTAAAATGTTGATTAAAAGCAGGATGGCTCAATTTTTATGTTGTTTAAACCACTCTACCATCCACATGTTGCAGCAGAAATCAAGACTCATAACACCAGGCGAGGTTTTTCCAATATTATGTTATCCAGCTTTGGTGAGACGTGCAAATTGTTGCCTAATTCTCCTGTTCTTGGCTGACAGAAGTGGTCTTCTGCTGCTGTAGCCATCTGTTTCAAATAACAAGCGGTTATTTGAATTGTTGTTTCCTTCCTACCAGCTCAAGGCAGCCAGCATTCTCCTCTGACCTCTGGCATCAACAAGGCATTTTTGCCTCTCACTGGTCCATTCGGCCCATTCTCTGTAAACCCTGGAGATGATTATGTGGGAAAATCCCAGTAGATCAGCAGTTTCTGAAATAGACCAGCCCAACCACGCCATGTTCAAGATCCTTTAAAACACCTTTCTTTCCCATTCTGATGCTCGGTTTGAACTTCAACAGGTCATCTTGACCATGTCTGCATACCTAATTGCATTGAGTTGCATTTTGCTGCTTTGAGCTGCCGTGTGATTGGTTGATTAGAAATTTATGTTAATAAGCAGTTGAACAGGTGTACCTAATAAAGTGTCTAGTTAGTGTAAGTGCATAAGAACATTGTTCAGTAATAGTCCAACGCCGTGCAGTGATACAGCTCACACTACCCTTAAATATGTCTTTTTTATAAGTGACTCTGTGTAGATAAAAGACACGGTTGCTCAATTGTTTAAGAAAGCACTAATAAATGCAGAGGGCAAAGTCAGGCCTGAGGTTTTTCAAGAATGAATTTTCACAGTGGGCGTAAGCTTCAGTGTCTTAAAGCCGTTTAGGTTGATGCTGCTCCATTAAAGGCACTGATATTTACCCCTCAAGCTGCCATGTAAAGAGATTATCTGTGTAAATGTTAATGAAAGAGGGAGATAAGAAAGCAGCAAAATGAGA